AAGCCCAACGGAGAACGAACATCAGCTATACGAAACAAAGAAGCGCACTCACGAATTCTCGAATGGATTCAAACTCGACAGGAAAATGGCGAACGTGTAAATAATCGTGATTTCCATTCCTATGCGTTAGCGACAATGAGAGAATTGACCGGCAATCCAGATTTTGCCGCATCGCGTTCATGGTGTTCGAATTTCATCAAGAAATACAACATTCAGTTAGATAGGTAAGTCTGAAACTATCCTTCTCGGTCCGTTAGGAAAGCTTTGATTCTCATTTAGTGATAAACAGTCTGATTCAGCTTCAGCACAATTTCGCTTTGATTCTCTCGATGAAAATGCTAGTGGTAAGTTGATGATACGTCTCTATACCATTCGAATTCGAATTCATATTCGTATCTTTCCATTAGAAAGTTCACAGTGTTACAACGCTGGTAACAGTCCAGCTGATGTTTTATCCGACGATGACGATATGAATGCTTCGCATCATCACGGAGACAATCCAGCAAGTCCGAATAGTGATCAAACCGGAAATCCAAGTAATTCACTATCGCCATCTCAGATAACCAATGGTCTCGACGATGTTTCGACCACTACTCCTATCGCCGTTAAACTCGAACAAGAGAATGAATTCAACTGTCAATCACCCTCATCACCATCTGTACAAACTTTACCAAATAAAATGAACGTAGCGACGAGTCTATCATCGAAACGATTGACTGGTACATTGAATCGCTTATTAAATTCAGTAATCAATCGCCCGAACGGCCATCATTATCATCAGAATGGTCTATCCTCATCACCATCTGCATCGTCATCGACAACAACTCCAACGACGGGAGCTGATTCACATGGCAAAGAGTCGAAAGGCAGTTTAGAAATGAGCACACAATCAATTGAAAGTATGAAACACAAGAACAAAGAAAAAAAAGCAAATTTCATGAAAATCATCTCTTCTTTTAGCCTTTGTGCAACATTTTGACAGTTCATTCAATACAATGACGTACTTTCAAGAAAAACTTCAACATTTACTCGTTTCAATAGCACGTAAGTATTCTTTTACATTGCTGTTTCATGTTCTCGTTCTATTCTTTTCCAGAGGAACGAGATACTTATCGAACACTTTATCTCAAAGAACATGATCGTCGTATAGCAGCTGAATTACGGCTAAAAGAAGCGAACAATACTGTTGTCTAGTCAATGACCGCGCCCGAAAAGTTTTCTCTTTATCCTTTCTTTTCTTTTTTCGTGCCAGAATCAAAGCTGTGATCTTTATTATTTACCAAACGAATCCGACAAAAACCCAAGCCCAACCGCCAATATTCAAAGAGAATTGATTTTCTCGGAAAATCACTTAAGTCAATGTTTGTTTGTTTTTTGCAATACTTGTCTTTACAAACATTTTATGTTTTGTGTGTGTGTGCTTTGTTTTCTAGCTATGTTTCATTCTCTTCTCGGCTTTGTTTGAGTGTGCCTGTTTGTTTCATTTATATACTCTCTATTCAGTTTTGTTGTGTTGTGTGTTTCGACTTTTCTCTCTTTTGCTACAATGACATGTGTTTGTATATCTTGTTCTAGTCAGTTTCTTTTGAATTTGAAAAGAAAAAAAAAGATTTGCTTATGAAGAAACACACAAAGCCACTCGATCTTTGATTTGTAGAATAAGGACGAAGATCGAAGTGAAATATGTTTCGTTTTGTTTTGTTGTTCTGTTTTTTTTTCAATCATTCATTTTATGTACATCTTTTGGGATAATAAAATTAAAAAACGTACGTCAATGGCAAGAAAATATCGATCGAGAAAACAAGAAGCTAATCGAATTGATTTGTATCATTGATATCTTCTCCTCGTTCCATCAGACGAGCGCTTTGTTCGATGGTTCTCGCATCATTTCCCGTACCGACTGAATGCGGGAGGAGAAGGGCGAACATTAGCGCAACTGTAGCAAGAAAAGCACCGAATAGAAAGGGTGGACCAGGTACTTCGCGATTTAACATCGACGAGTAAACTGGTTTGGCATTCGATAGAATTGTTGTAATGTTCGAATTGCTTGGTGGGAGAACTGTATTGGACGAAAAGCCGAAATCGACATTGAAGAGATAGAAGGTGAATCCAAATAGAGCAGGTCCAAGACCATTGCATAGACCACGGACGCCATTAACCATTCCTTGGACAAGACCTGAAACGGCAGAAGGAATTTCTGGAATTTGAACGGAAGTCTACGTTGGGCTCACCTTGTTGATTTTCATCTGCATAGACGGAAACGAATGCACTAATCGACGGATAGGTTAAGGATGAAAGTGCAGCTAAGCCACCGGCGAACCACATGACCCTAAAACGAATCGGTTAGAAATCGAAGCAATTGTCTGGTTTTGATGACTACCAAGTGGATGTGGCAATTCCGAATGCTGCTAATTGAACGATTTGAAAAAACAATCCAACCATGATTGTTTCTTTTGCACCGAAATATTTTTGTAAACATGCCAAAAAGGCAGTCTAATGATACAGGTTTAGGTCTTATTTGGAAATTCTTTCTTATTTACTTGAGCAATGCATGAAAGTACACCGATAAATGCGATGAAATAAGCAACTTCATCTTCGGAAAAGCCCAATACCTAAACCAAAGCGAGTGTGAATTAAAATTAAGTGTTCAATCGAGATTTACTAAGCGTAAATAAACGAAAAAACAGGAATATTGCCCAGCTTCTGAAAAAGATCGACTATCATCGAAACGATCGTTTTAGAAAGTCGATTTCATACCCGGAAGATATGATAGAAGAACGATGAGACAGATCAGATAAATAAAACGATCGTGAGTTATTTTCTTAAGAGCCTATAATGATAAAATCAGACGATTGTGTTCACTGACAATGAGGAAATTTCCGATAACTCACTGAAAATGGATCGATTTTGTCCCATGACACTTTCTGATCAATGCGCAATCGTTCTGGTAAAGATTCCGGTACCATGAAATAGATAAACAACAAATCTAACACGGCAACTGCCGTACCTGAAACTCAACAAGACCTGGTTCGTCAAAATTACAAATCTTCTTCGAATACAAACCAAGTGCAATAATGAAATTATCACTGTAGAGTCGAGCGAGATGTGCACCGATGGCCGGACTTGTAATTAATGATGCAGCAAATGTCGCTGTTACTAATCCTAAACGAATCTCTCTTCGAATTGGTGACGAATACTTTCAACAACAAACCATATGCCGCGCCACGAGAATTCTCATCCGTAACATCAGCTACATACGCGTAAACGACGCTGAACGTTACAGAAAATAGGCCACTGATACTAATTAAAGCAAAGTACCACCTAAAATTATCATCGAGAAACTCAATAGAGTACATTCAGTTGGAAGAAATTTACATCGGACTAAATTTCATCAATGGTATTGGACAGCACGTAAAGAAAACCGTAAGAAGTAGAAAAGATTTGCGTCCCCAGACGTCAGAGTAAGCACCTAACAACGGCGAACTTAGGAATGTCAATAAACCTCTAAAGTACAAAATTAGATTGAACAAAGGAATCTTTGACACGAGTTTCTTCTTGTCTCACTTCATTCCATGAATAACGCCATTCATTAAGAATGTATGAGTCGGAAATGTTCGATTAAGCGTCTGAATGAATGAACAAATAAAAGAAGCATAGCGGACGAAACGTTATCCTACTGAGATAACAGGATTTGTTAGAAGACCCCATGCGAAAAATTCGAGAAAAATAACAACTAGACCATGATAAACACTTGGTTTACCGAAACCACCGGGCTAAACACAAACAAATATTCTCGAAAAGTATGAAACAATGAGATGAAACGTTTTACTTTGATGAGTCTGCGTTGTTTGATTTTAAATTTGACTCGCTTGACTTCATCAGTGTCTGAATGTGTTTCAATATCACATTCATTGACAGATTCTGTCATTGCTAATGACGATGTACGTCGTAATTTACTTGACAAGACTGTTGTCGCCAGTGATTTGTTTTAAACATGTACAATTAGACGAATCAATGCCATCATAATAATCGACACAATGCAGAGAGGAACAGCCACGAAGTAAAAATTTTGATTGAGAAACAAAAGAATTGCAAATAAATACAAAAAAAAAGGAAAGTCTAGAATATCTCAAAAATTAATTAGTTTTTCTTCAATAATTATGAACACTTGAAGAACACTTCCTACTTAGGACTTTTCATGAGAAAATGTTCGATTTAAAACAAAGAAAACGTATCAAGGCTGACAGTCGGCCTTACTCATCTTCGTGAAAATAGAACACACTTTTCCTCTTTCAACAAAAATAAGCTGTATGACTGGAATTTTCGCTCGATTAAATGCATACCCACACGCAGTAAATATCTATATTGCCTCAATCCATAGGTAGGTGAAAGAAATGATGATTTTATGCGCGTGGAAAATAATCTGCCAAGTATCAAGAAAATCTTTCTTTCTTACCAGATACGATCATAGAAACCAGTAGGTTCTCTTTCGTTTCGAACATTCTCATTGGTCATCAAGCTGAACAATCGGGTATCATTCATAGAGAGCGTTCGAAACTCATTTTTCACAAACAATTGAATCGTTCGAGATTATTTCAACGAAAAATAAAGAAATTCTGTCGATGTTCCAATGAAAATCGTCCATTCTCATCGGTTTCCTGATCAACCACTCAGGTTCGTGAATGAGTCATACATTTCAGGTCTTTAGGTTCGTTCGAAACAAATCAAAATAGTTTATCCTGATTTATTTGCAGAAGTCATGCAAACATCTCATCTGACTCGATTAGCTTCGATACAACATTTCAATTTGATAAAACGATCATTAACAAGACCAACTGGGCCCGTTCTACGTAAACTAATCGCATCAGGTAGGCACGAAGTAGAATTTTCGAATTGCTGTACGATTTTATTTCGTTCAGAGGCTTCGCCAACAACAAATTATGTTCGTTCAACTTGTGAATTCCGATTCGCGTCGACAACAACGTCATCATCTAATGATGGACAAAATTCTCACGATGAAGAACAAAAGAAGAAGAACATCACGAACTTAATGTACTTAGCTGGTGCTGTGACAGGTCTCGGTGCAATTTACACCATCGTATGTTGTTGATTTTTGGTGATAACAACGAAAGATCGATGCTTTTCTCGTCTTAGTTTCAAAATCGAAAAAGTTCGAAAGAAAAGCAAGATGCAGTTAGTGCTTACGATGCCAAACAATTAAAATCTCAACATGCAGATGATAAACTTGATGCATCCAAGAAGACACTGGTGGAGAAAGTTGGAGATCTACAGGATCGAAAACTACTCGGTTTGAACCGTTCAAGTGTATTTGCCACGAACTGCAGTTTTTCGTTTTAGCTGAAGAAGAACAACCCGAAGAATTGAACAAAACAGATTTAACACCGGTTATACCCAGTTTTGCACAATATTTGATCATCGGTGGTGGAACTGCAGCTTTGAGCGCATTCAAATCAATCCGTGCCCATGATGCAACAGCTAAAGTTTGTATTGTTCTTATTTCTTGACATTTTTCAATCTTCGATATCTTTCAAATAGGTTCTTGTAATTAGTTCGGAGAAATACTATCCGTACATGCGTCCTCCATTATCGAAGGATGTTTGGTATACAGATGATAATCTTTTAAATCAACACATGTTTAAACAATGGAATGGACAAGAGAAAAGGTTTGCATAGTTGGTTTGATTGGAGTAATGCGAAGCTCGACTGTTGTTTTAGTTTATTCTTTTTTGATAATGAGTTTTATGCTGATGTGAAGACATTAAATGACGAAGAAAATGGTGGTGTAGGTGTTGTCCTTGGAAGAAAAGTAAGAAATGATAGATTTTGAGCTGAAGAGACATACTTTTGATGTACAAATTAGGTCGTTAATTTGGATCTGAAAACTTCCGTCGCTAAGTTAGATAATGGTTGGGAAATATCGTTCGAAAAATGCTTAATTGCAACAGGTGGTCAACCGAAAAGTTTGAAAGTATTTCAAACAGCATCGAATCGTTTGAAATCGAAGTTAACTTTATACAGAGGAGTAAGTTCGCCTCTCGAATGAACGATATGTTCGGATGATTTAATAGCGAAACAAATTTCTTTTAGATTGACGACTTTTTTGCGCTGAAAAAAGTCGTTGACAGTGGTGCTGATGTGACTATTATTGGTGGAGGCTTTCTTGGCAGTGAATTAGCATGTTCTCTAGCACATCGTGCTACGGAGAACGATAAAAGGGGTAACCCAAGTGGAAAAATTACTCAATTGATGCCAGAAACTGGTAAGGAGTCATACTTCATCTTTTTTTTATTGGAATTTCTTGTTCTTACAGGTAATATCAGTAAAGTGTTGCCGGAATATTTGAGTAAATGGGCGACGGGACGCGTCCGAGACGGTAATATTTCAAACTTCTCTTTTGTCAACCAGAATTGAGATTTTATTTGAAATTCTAACAGAAGGGGCAAACGTTTTAACCAATGTTGAATTGATCGGTGCATCAGTAGTACAAGACGGCAAAGTGAGTCTATCCTACATCGATCCCCAAAACCCCAAGAAAACCAGTTATATTACGTGCGATCATGTGGTTGTTGCTGTTGGCATCGAACCAAACACTGACTTAGCTAAATCAGCCGGCTTAGAAGTTGATCCCGACCAAGGTGGCTTTCTTGTCAACGCAGAATTACAAGCACGTCACAATGTTTGGGTAGCTGGTGATGCCGCATCGTTCTACGACATCAACTTAGGTCGACGTCGTGTCGAACATTATGATCACGCTATTGTTAGTGGCAAATTAGCCGGAGAAAACATGACAGGTGCACATAAACCATACTGGCATCAATCGACGTTTTGGTCCGATTTGGGACCAAAAGTTGGCTTTGAAGCAATCGGTCTAACAGATTCTCAATTGCAAACTGTAGCTGTTTATGCTAAAGGAAAACCTACTGATGAAGAACAAAAGCGCGATAGTGAAGGCAATCGTGAACAACAAGATGTTGTTCCCGAAGCGACAGCAAACGATTTGAAACATAAATTACCTGAAAGCAAAGGAAATTTGGATAAAGATGATTATAGTAAAGGTGTTGTGTTCTATTTAAAAGAGAATAAAGTCGTGGGAATTGTCCTTTGGAATGTATTCAATCGCATCGCAATTGCACGAAAGGTAAACAGATCATTTCTATCGTCGAAATGCTTGTCTGACGGGACTTTTCCTTTCTTTTTAACAGATTATCAAAGATCAACAAGAGATAACAAATTTTCAAGAACTAGCCAAACTTTTTAATATTCATCAAGATTAGTTTACTGTTGTGATTTTTCGTCGATTTCATTTCCTTTTTTCTTCTTCTTTTTCAACATAGATCTAGAATGTATACGAAACATTTTACTAATATTAAACCATGCAACGCTCTCTTGATCACTAGCTGAACTGTGATTTCAGACATACAATCTTCTTCTTTTATTCTAAATGTTCGTTTCCTCGACTCACAAAGCGCAGAAACGTCATTTGATTTTTTCTTTAATTAATTTCTCAGTTTCGTTCCAACATTGTTCTGCACGACGGGTATCCATTGCCAACTGACTGCTTCTTCGCACTTGGCAATCAGAATGATAGCAGCCGGGCTTTGCATCATCAGAGAGCGCACAGAAAAGTGTTGTCATTGATCCTTGTTCAACAGTTTTACCTATCATCGATAGAATTTGAAAAGCCACTCGACGAAAAAGCGGTCGGTTTCGTTGTAAATTTGTACTTATAATCGTCCCAGGATGTAGCGAATACGCTTTCACACCATACCGACGTGTTAATTCACTGGCATGATAGATTTGTGCTAACTTCGATAGGGCATAAACTCTTGATCCATGATACTTATCTTTGAATTGTCTTAAGGAATAGTCGAGGTCTGCTGGTCGAACGAGATGATGAGCAATACTACTAACATTCACAACACGACCGTGCCTCAATCGAGGTAATAATAGTTGAGTTAAATAAAAGTGTCCGACTAAAACAAAAGAGAATTTCCAAAATCGATTCAATCAATTTATTTCGATCTTAACCGCAGTTTGTAGCGAATTGTTTTTCAATTCCATCGATCGTAACTGAATACGTTTCATAAAGACTACCAGCATTATTGATTAAAACATCAACGGAATCGATTCTTTCCGCGAAATTTTTTACATTCTCTAAACTTGATAAATCGAGATCATAACCAATGACTGTTCCACCATGGGACTCTTTTGATATTTCTTCCGCAACTTTTTCTGCTCGTTCTTGCCCGCGAATTCCAATGATAACTTTCGCACCAAGCTGCGCTAACCGCCGTGCGCACACACGACCAATGCCTGACGTGGCACCTGTGATAATCACTGTTTTATTGGGAATTTTCTTTATTGGTAAATAATGCCGACCGCAAGTTAAGCCATGATTAACGAAAAACATTAGAAGGATATACAAACATGTGGAAAAAATGGATAATGGCCATGTTCGTAGAATAAAACAAATGATGATCGAACCGAAGAAGTTTATTGAAAGGAATAAAAATGAGAGGATCTCTGGTTCGAAAAATAATGGATGAAGTTTCATTCTATATCGCAAAATGCTGAATATTTGTCTTGGATGTCGAAGTGTTTCTTATCTTTCATGATACTATCGTTAAAAACAATATGTTTGTTCTGAAACATGTCCTTTCTCCGTGTAAATATCAACCTTTTTGTTCTGTATTATCTATACTACACTAGTCAAGTCGTCACATACAAACGTTTTCAATTACCTAATGAAAAGAATTATAAATAAACTAGAGGGAGTACCCTTAAATATACACTGGTTCACTTAGTTATGTATCTGACTTGTGGTTCATTTGGTTCACCCCGTCATGTCCGAATTAGCCATCATTTCGAATCAATCGTCAAACGATAGTTCTACGTATTGAGAATGTTTCACTGCATATCATTTCTGTACTATTCCAACAAATCCATAGGTTGTTTTTGTTCAATCCTACATCGTTATCTCAAACTGATTCATCGCTGGTACTGGCACAATTTATTAATCTTCGTCGTTTGTGCGTCCGTGGCTTTGCATCAGAATTGAAACAGCTTTTTCAATGATGGTGTACTTCTTTATCTTGATTCTCTTGATGCACATATCGTACCATTATTTGTTGCTTTGGTACGTCGGAAAAAAAAACAAACGAAAACTCTTGCTACAATCAAATATTTATTAATGAAAGATCAAGCAGATGAAAACGAACGATACTTTTCGATCAAATACTGGTATTTCGTATTCGACACTTTTTCTCGTCTGCGAACAGTACTCATCCAATTTATAAGTAACATACGTCCACTGATGGCATTATCAGGTCTATTTGTTAATTATATACGACGAATTATGCGAACATCTTTCCATCTTTTCTCTTGCTTCATTGATGGAAGTCGGACCACAGATAATAGAGAGCACTTTCAGTGTAATACAATTAATAACTCCTCATTGGACGAGAGTTGATGCTTGAATGTAGTTTTGTTTGTGATGAGAACAAATTTACGTTGTTATGATCGATTTTCAGGAATGCAGTAGTTTATATTTAAAAAAGACAAGAATGGAGGGAAAATTCATGTTTAAGAATGAAAAAATATTCAGACGCTTTATGTTCGTTCAGTTCGTCACTGAACGAATTCAATATAAATAATTTAAGAAACATTTACCTTCGAATAATACAGAGTTCAGGGATAATCTCGTTTAATATCAGTTTTACCATAGTTTGGAATTTTTTCTTTGATGATGGAGATTCTCCACAGGTTATTTTATCTTTTCTGTCCAATTTCTCATATTTCTGATGCAAATGAATTTAAACCGAACGGTTTTGTTAAAACTTCTTTTGATCGGTACTTCATTTGATGAACGTCACTATTTATATGTCGAACATTTATCAGCAGGTTCAAATCCATTCATAAACGAAACAGGGAAGAGACGAAGCTATTTCCAGCTTTAGAAATGTTGAAGAAGAATGAAGAAATTGAATTTGATCTATGCTACACATAGCTATAAGAACCATAATTCATCAATTTTTATTTATCAACAAGAAAGTATAAAAAAACATCAGATTCCTTGAGTTGAGAAGTTTCATTCGAAGAGAATTGCTCTAAATAAGTGAAAATGACCGAGTGCGTGTTTATCATCAATAATCATTCTTACTTCAATGTTGAGATTAATTTTGGTGCTTGATATATCAATCGATGACCATAGTTCGATCGATGATACGATATCATATCAATGGTGAAATGAAAGAATTTCTTTTTCTGTTTGTTATCATTTCGAGCATTCATTCCGATTTGCAACAACTGTTTCGAATGTATGTATGGAATAATAAAATCATCATCAGCGTGAATAAGTACACATGGACAATTGAGATTCAATAAATGATGACGTGTTTCGAAGTAGAGCTTATTTTTATGTAAGGCTTTTTCTGTTAAGCTGTAGTACCATGGTTGCCAACGAAAAAACTATATAAAGAATTAGTTAGATAGACGGAATTCAAAAGGAAACTTACTAAAGATATCCAATGAGTTAGAAGAGCTTGGTGAACATTGAGGAATGGAGCTTCTAAGACAATGCCAGCAAGATTTTTATCTGCAGAAATAGTATATGATCAGTAAATCAGAGAAGAAGAGAATCGTACTGTTATGTTGAGATAATTCGGCAGCCAATTGCGAAGCGACTGCTGAGCCGAGTGCATGACCCCAAAGATAAATTTTTCGTTGATGGTTATTCAATTTCTGAAGCCAATCGTAGATAAATTTCGCATCTTTGACCAAGTCATTCTCTGTTGATTCACCAGTTGAATCGGCAAAACCTCGATAATCAAATGCAATAACATCATACTTCAATTCATTTCGTAATCGTTGGCAAAGTTCACGACGATGCATTAACGCACTGAAAATCATCATAGAAGACATCAATCGAACTGATACACGTGTCTTACCGATTAGCACCACTTCCATGGAAGTAAATAACAACAGGAATGTTTGAAATGAGATGTTTTCGAAAATAGTCTTCGTTATCGTCGTAAATTTGATCTTTGATTAATCGTGAACGAAAATGCCTGAAAAAAGAATGATTTACATGAATAGTTAATTCGATTGAATATCAGACCATATGCCAATGGAGACTTGAGATTCAACGTTCAAGTGGAAATTGTACACTCGGTCAAGATTGAAATGTTCAGGATGAGTCAAATTCGTTCGTGTTTTGACTAAACATCCAAGAGAAATTTTTGAAACAGAATGAAAATCAGCTAAGAACACACCTTTGTTCTGAAAAACCAGATGCTTTGTGATGGCTGGATACGTAAGAAGGAGAACTGGAATGAGAATGGAAGCAAATACGTAAACACCACCGAGAAATAATCCAATTTTGATTGATAACGACCTATTTTCAAGGAGAATCTCTCGTTATAGAAAAAACAAAGATCATTTACTTACGAAGATTTTGATCGTTGATGGGATCTTTCAATATCGACTTTCGGTTCGAGATCAGGTTCATCCATTTCAATTAACTTTATCTGTAAAAAAATTGTATTGGCATTCATTTCTGACGGTGAAAAATTACAAAAACAATTAAGAGAAAACACATTGAAAATTAAATGACTATTGTATCACATTATGAAAGACAAACAATCTTTGAAGGAAATCAAATTGCATTCATGTTGGAGGTGAACGTTTCAGGAAAGCAAAATCACTAAAAGAAAATCGTGTAATTGTCGAAAAAATCAGCCAAATGCACTTCTACCTGACAATATCTTGAAATTTCGGATACGAATATATATGATTATGACCACAAGCAGCTGAACGTGGAACGACGACGAAACGAACTTCAGGTAAACTTTGATCACGATGTTGTTTGACATAATCTTGAATTAATTCGATGTGAAAGTACGGAATGACAGCATCGTCTTCGGCATGAATTATCACAGTTGGTAATGGGAGTGAGGCAACACTGAAACGAGGAAAATTAACTGTGATTCAATTGACTTTTTGATAGTTACATTTCATTGTTGGGAAAATCAAGTTTCACTGTCGTTAAGGCGTCAAGAGCAGCTTGCATAAAATACGGATTGATTTTGAGGATCTAATGAGATCGATGAGAAGAAAATCTTAGCGAGAAAGGACGTGAAGTTTACTCGAGTGAGTGGATAGGAAACTAAGCCTTGCAAAGTATTGTAAAATGGAGCTTCAAGAACGAGTCCGGATGGTTTCTTATAATCTAGAAGAGTAGTTTTAACGAAAAACGATTCGCAGTTGAAATGAGAATTGCGCACTGGTTATGTTTTGGAATAGATAATGCATTGTCCATGATGCAACACCCGTGCCCATCGAATGTCCCCAAATAGTAATCGGGTTCTGTGGACAAGCTTTTCGAATTGATTTAAACAGATGGAGAACATCATGAACAACACCTTGTACACTCGGTGTACCCGTTGAATCTCCATAACCGCGATAATCAAGTGCAATAATATGATTTCCAAATGCCGTCATCATTCGATAATGATTTGCACGATAGTGTGTTGCTCTAAACTCTCGAGTTTAATATCTTTCATCAATTGTTCTCTATTTACCTTGTTCCGTCTTGACCATGGAGGTACATAATGATTGGCTGGTCAACAGAAGTAACATAGTGCTTTAAATGGTCACCAAGAGTCGGTAAACTATGATCGACTTCAATATCTGATGGTACAATATACCTTAAAAGAGAAAACAGTACTTGAAAATTCGAAGGATATCTTCGTACCAAAGTCCAACCGTAACATTCGGTTCAGTTTGTTCATAAACATTAACTCCATTGAGACTGAACGCACTTGGTTTGGTTAAATCAATCCATGGATAATATCGAGCTGAAAAAAAACAGGAATATGTTTTGTTTATTCAAACCATGACACAAATCAAACGTTACACCAAGTTTGAAAAAGCATTTTCGTTAGAATAAAATCACCATACAACCGGAGTAAAAATGGTGCTAGGACAATCAGTGAAGCTATAGTCAAAACAACGCTAAGCATACATCGACCAAGACTAAATTGACCTGAATGAGATCATCTGATTATTAACTAGTTTCTTACATTCTTTTCCACGATGATGGCTTCTTTTTCTTGACAATGACGATTTCTTCATCTTCACTGATGAATACTTCTTTTTTCACTCGTTTTTTCTCGCTCATCGATCTGAAATAGGCAAAACACCGGTTAATATACTTGCTGGGTTTACTTCGAAAATCTTTTTAGATAAACAAGAACAAAGAGATGTATCATTCTATCGAAATATGTTAAATGGCATTTAAGATTGCATTTGGTACATCAAATGTTTGATCATCACATATAACAATATCATAGACATTCTTATAGACTTCCAATTTCTCTGGTGTGCTATGATTCAGGTAGCCGATTTTCAAAATTTGTTTCAAATTTTTCATTCCACCCGTCATTCCGATATCACCGAGTGTATCACCGAGAAGAATCGCATTGGGTCGATTAGCAATCGTTTGAAAATAAGAAGTATCATGAATTTCATGTTCGTTCTTATTGAACGAATGAATCAATTTCTCGCTGAAAGAAATCACCTTGCCTTGATCATCATACTGGATAAAATTCGAAACTATATGAGAAGACTCGTGGTTGTGCTGAAATTCTGGAATGCGCTCCTCGAAAAAGAATTGAATAACATCACCTAAAATGCAAGAAGATTAGCATCAATTGTAAAAGTTTATTATACCTAAGCCAGCAGAGAATATTAGAATGGGAGTTTGACTTGTTAACAACTCTGTGATGAACTCACGAACACCTTTTTTCAGTTCCATTCTTGACTTGTGAACAAGATCTCGGATCATAGATTTAGTCAAATTCGATAAAACAAAGAGATTGTGCGCGGAACGCCACCATTCAATCATGTAAGGTATCTTCTCCGAAACTTCCATTTGAACATCGATTTCAATTGGATGATATTTTGCATACAATTCCGAAGATTTATCACGCAATAATGAACCATCCGGTAGCTAAAGAAGTCGTTATTCGATGAGTAAATCAAGTCCAGCCTCCATTCATCTGAAGATTTTGAAAGATAGTCATATCTATTTTCTTCTTTCCTCGGATATCATCAAACAAGTCGGCAGTTATCAAGACCGAAGTCCAACATAAAGAGGATTTCAAAGTCAAAGAGAAAGCAACATAATATTTATTTACGTTAACTATACATCGCAAGTGGCAAAGTTAGCCCGTTTGCACATCTACATATCTCTGCAAAAAGCATGAAGGAATGTCAAATCTTATCTCTACTATCGTTTAATATTTTAACAGCATTCCGTCCAGGGTTTTTCTTACTTTGATGTAATCATTTGATTCAATCACACCAAATGTTGATGGCAACGCCATTCCGTCTTTTTCGTACATTGTTAATGTAAAATCGAAATCTGCGACTACATGTAACATCTTTCTTCCATCTTTCACCATCGAACGAAGAGCATCGTCAACATACGCACGTTTATCGTCATGTACGTGAACATGAGGATGAGTTTGGAGAATGTTTGCGAGTAAATTCATCTAATCTAAAAACTATTGAAAATATTAGCACCGGAATGAGCGAAAACGATACAAAAAAATTGCGAGAAAGATGGAAGGAATTAGATTTTTAATGATGTGGTCAAAGCTCGATTTTCATCATCAGTATGTGATGATGTTTTCGCAGCAAGTGTGGAAAGTAATGCAGTTCGATAGATTTCATACAGTTGGACACGAGCGAGATTTTCATTTTTGTATAATCGTGTCATCATTGCATGAAATGTTTCCAATTCGGATAGATTGAATAAATGCCATTGCAAGAGATTATCGCTCGATGATGACGCTTGAGAATAGACGCGTAGGAACGAAGGAATACGTTGTTTGAGTAAAGGATTTGGTGGTACAAGTGTTTTTCTTGACGAATGATAATTCCGATTGAGAAAACTGAAATAAAAGCAGGAAAAATAGTACGAAAGAAATGAAGATTTATTTGATTACTCAGCTTGTCGACGACGGCGTCGACGTGGAAGAAAACTTAACTCTGCAGTCAAATTTAATGATCGACTTGATGTAATTCGATGGTTTTTGTCATCGTTATTGCCTTCGTTGTCATCTTCATCTGAATCAGTCTCGTTTGAATGAGTAGTACCATGACGATGGCTTTTATCATATGTTCGACGCGCTTCTTCAACAGATTCTCTTCAAATAAAAAGAATCTATATCGATTCCATTTCTTCTAGCCTCTTACTTCACGGGATCGCTGTATGCTTTTCGTTTTTGCTTTCGACGTCGTATTTTATTCGCCTCTTTGCCGTAGAGTAGACGTGAAAATTCACGATCAAATCCAGCGATGGAGCTCGTACTGCCCGTTGGTTTAGGTGGCGAAGGAGGAGGTAGATTGCTAACAGATGAAAGAGTAGATGTCGGCGATTGGTATTGAGGTGGTGGTGAACGAACTCGATTTGTTAAAGGTAACACACACGGAAGAGAAATACCCGGAAAAGCTTCTACTGTCGATAGAGTAACCGATGTTGGAATCGGTGGACGTACGAGACTTTGAGAGCGATCAGAAACTACTGGAATAAACAATGAATAGTGATTATTTGAATCTGTAAAACATACCTGGTCGAATTATTCGATTGTTATTTGTGATACTGGAGGTATATGAAGGTGGTGGAGGTCGAGTTTGAGTCTGTTCGTTGAACAATAGTGGAGGAGAAGTGGTCGATTGATTACTTGGTGATGAACTCCATTTTAGTGTCGACGGATGAATGTAAAAACTCGTCGGTGAACGCGAAGAGTCAAGTTCGTCATCATCCAATGGTTTCGTTTGTGAAGTGACATTTTGTTCTTCGAATAATTTCTCCAGTGATGGCGAATAGTGTAATTTCGGTTCATCATCTTCGTCTTTTGTCGAAGATTTCGCTATTTCCACAGGAGGTAAATCTGGTGTGTTGTCCCTGACAAAAGATGCCAATGTTTTCTGTTGTTTTCCTTCGACGTGTATCGGTAATTGATGAGAAATCGGTTTTTCCTCGAGAATAGTCGCTTGTTTCAATTGGCCAAATGTAATTGGCTGAGATTTCTGCTCGGTATGAGACAATGAAAGATCAGAATTCGGTTTTCTTAATGTTTCGATCATTGTAACAATGCGTCTATGGAATAAATTCGAATGAATCGATGAAGATAAGATTGGCGAGATTTCTTGAGGAGAAGTTGTTGAAACAAGTTCATTGTCATTCGCCGATGATGCTGATGAAGCAAGAAATTGTGCTATTTTGGCATTATATCGATTATCATGCGCTCCCGACGGGAAAACTAAGTAAGAAAGATGAAGAGTTAAACAAATGATGAGAAATAATCAGCAGACCTGATGCAGATGAATTTCTCGGAATGAATTTTCCTGGAATACTATTATGAAATGTGAGTTGTTTCTTTCTTGGCATATCTAAAAAACACACATAAATGTGTCTTTCATATTCTTCTTCTTATTTTATTCGTTTTTAGCTCTTCAATAAACGAACACGTTTAAAAAAAAACACAAAAAACTGAGTTTTTTTTCTTCGTTTAAGCTTTGACAGCGAAGGTACGCTTGGGAAACGCCCATTGTCGTCGTTGAGTTTTCTTCAATTGCACAGCACGTTCTTTAGGTGTCAATAAACGGCGAAGTGCGCGTGTCTTTCGTCGACGTAAATCTTTTGGTTTGTATTTCTTTCCGTGATAGAGTTTTCTTAATTCTTCTTTGGTCGTTTGATTTCGAACAATCAGAACATGAGCAATGGATTTGCGTACATTGCGAATTTTACCTAATTTTTGTGCCCCACCACTACCTGTGACTTTGCCGACACGTAAGGTATTTAATTCTTGACGTAAATCATCTAATTGCTTTTGAATTTCAGCTAAAATCGAATTCGATTATGTTTTTTCCGGTTAGGACTGTCAAGTGATTAATTTACCTGGTTTTTTACCACGAAGTTGGGAACATTTCACTCGTGTCATTTTGTTGAGAAAGGAAACTTAAATCTGAAATTGAAATTCAACGTAGCATTGTTTTGAAGAAAAATACTTGTATGTGTTTTTCGGTTGGATAGATGGACGTTTGATATGTGAATGAAAACGGTAAGAAAATATCAGTCGATAGATGGAAGCAGAGTAGCAACTCGCTTGTGAGTGGCTTATTTCTTAAGCAGAGGATGAAAAAACATAAACATAAACAATCAAAGCCGGAACAAAAAGAAAGTTGAGAGACAAAGTTGTTGATCGATCGGAATGATCAAGCAGAGGAGTTCGAATCGATTTCGAGAGAAATTAAGACAAATGCCAAGAAGTTCATCTGCGTAGTTTAAGAAAGAAATTCTCATTGTTTATGGGCAATTCGATGTTGTGAGAACAACTTTGCGGATATATTTGCGGTTGGCAAAGGAAAAATTAGAAGGCAATGGATTATAGAGAAGTTTCACATCATGATGTGGTTGATGGCTGCTGGTAACTAAGACGTTCGCGGGAGTTTTATACGCAGGTGAATGCATTTGGGTGTGGCACATCACACCTCCGGATTATATGATAATTCCGTTCTTGACTTTTTAGATAAGTCGTAGTTTATGGTTTCGTATTCACTGTGTTCTTCAATATTCTCGATTCTAATCGCAATTCTAATCATTTCAAATAATTCATCGCCATCATAAGTAATCAATCAATATATGGTTTGGCGTTCATCGGGCTTAACGCACCGGGAGTTAATTGAAAATCTACACAAGAATAGAATCATCACTGATAAACGGAGAAAAAAAGCGTCATGTTACAAGTAGATCGAGCTGATTTCGCTGATAATAAAACTGGGACCCACAGCGATCGACCTCAGTCAAGTAGTTTGAAGAATGTTTACTTTTAAGAAAAAATCAAAGCTTTTCCTTTTTAGTTGGCTATGTTGTAAGCACGTCTAAATGTTCTACATTAGAACTAATTGATTTCTCTTCGCTCAGGTGACCACTAGGTAAGGTGTTGTATTTTAATGGCCAATGTCGAACCTTCTTCTTATCATTAGTGCACCACATATGCATAGTTTTGGATTTGAGATTTTCGAAGATAAACTTCAACCTAGTACTATTGTCTTTTCCTGAATGAAGCCATTTTTTATCAATATATTTCCATAGGAGCAAACGTTCTCGATGTGGGATCGGATTGAGGATATTTAACTGCATGTATTGTACGTCTAGTTCGTCCGCACGGCAAAGCTATGGGTGTTGAGCACATCCGAGGGCTTGTTGACAAATCAATTCAAAATATTCCTCGGAGATTCCCAAAGATGATGGCCGAGAAAATTATCTTGCTGAAGTACCTTATGATGGCGATTCATGTAGGTGCATCTGCGCCATACACACTGCATGAGTTAATTCGACAATTGAAGGTCGACGGAAGACTAGATGTTCTCGTTGGAAATAAATTCGACCAAGAATGATTGCCTACGATAAGAAAGCCGATGGGACATACGTTGAACAGCGACATATGGGTTTGATCTTTGTTCCATTAATAGATGGAACAGTACAATACGAAAAATCCGGAGCTCGACGACATATTTCAATAAATAACTTCTTTTTTTAAATACTTTTCAATAATCGTACAAGTACATCTCAATTTTGAAAGATTAATTTTTTCTAGATTTCGAATCTATCTTGTTGGCATGTTATCGAAACGTCTTCTTTCGACATTGATCTCGACATCATCATGTCGGTTCATGCAAACAAGCGCGATCGTTAATTCAAGTCAACAACAAAATTCTCATACGAATTATGATAGATCAGTTTATGATTCAACACGCAAGAATCTATACATTAGTGCCGATACACGTGTAATTTGCCAAGGTTTTACTGGTAAACAAGGAACATTTCACTCACAACAAGCACTTGACTACGGAACAAAATTAGTTGGCGGTGTTAGTCCCAAGAAAGCTGGCACAAAACATTTAGGTTTACCAGTATTTAAAAATGTTCACGATGCTATGAAAGAAACCGGTGCCACGGCAACAGTTATCTACGTCCCACCACCAGGAGCAGCCGAAGCGATTCTCGAAGCTATTGATGCTGGCATTGGTCTAATTGTCTGTATTACAGAAGGTATTCCTCAACACGATATGGTAAAAGTTAAGCATCAATTAGTAAGACAAAATAAATCTCGTCTTGTTGGACCAAACTGCCCAGGTGTTATTGGTAAGTTGCACAATTGCCTTCTTTTCTCAGAGAATTCATATTAATTGTGTTCAGCTCCTGGTAAATGTAAGATTGGTATTATGCCTGGTCATATTCATCGACCAGGACCAATTGGCATTGTCTCACGTAGTGGTACGTTAACATACGAAGCTGTGCATCAAACCAGTCAAGTTGGTCTTGGACAATCATTATGTGTTGGTATTGGTGGTGATCCATTCAATGGCACAGACTTTATTGATTGCTTGGAGTTATTCTTAAAAGACAAAAATACGCATGGTATTATTCTTATTGGTGAAATCGGTGGTAATGCTGAAGAAGCAGCTGCTGAATATCTCAAACAGAAGAACACTGGTTCAAACGCTAAACCAGTCGTTGCTTTTATTGCTGGACAAACTGCTCCACCTGGCCGTCGTATGGGCCACGCTGGCGCTATCATCAGTGGTAAATCCGGTGGTGCCGACAGTAAAATTCAAGCATTGAAAGATGCTCAAGTGAATGTGAGTGATTCGCCCGCCAAGATGGGCCAATTGATGTACAAGTTAATGAAAGGTGAAGATCATCCTCTTAGTCAAAAACAAACACAGTGAGTGCGAGAGCTCATTTCTAGCTCGCACATTTAGTTCTTTTAGAAAAGAAAAAAAAAGAAATTTACACATTATACGTTTCTTTTGCTCCTTATATTTCTAGTATTTTTTCTGTTTGTATGCGTAAAAGAATAGAATTTTTTGACTTTATTACCAACACGTTGTTTGCCAAGGTTTTTTTTCTACCCTATAAAATGAACTGATTGATATCCGAGTTTATACTTATACGTACATATCCAATTCTATACTTCAATATAATCTAGAAGGAAACGGCAACAACAACATCAAGAGCAACAACAGCAGCAACAACATTCGATGAAATAATGTACACGAAATCTCTTCTGTTCGTTGTCATTATTGAATTTATCTCGTCCCTTGTAACATTATAACTGACGAACGATACGGATGATCGAAAGAAACCTATTGGATACCGATTTGATTGTTTTTTCCTTTTGCTTTCATATAGAAAAGAGAAGCGACGAGTGAATGCTTGGAGGAGAATTTGAGACGAAAATATGAGGAGCTCCTTGAAAAAGTAATATTGATATGTGAAGCGTTTTTTCTTCGCTTCTTTTGCTGTTCGATTTGTGCTTGATATGATCTTGAAAAATTTCTTCTCTTTCATTTTCGGCTCGTTTTCGTTATTTATTTTTTAGATTAATTTCTCATGGCTTCTAATTATACACCATCCGAATCTCCTGATAACATATCTGAATGTTCATCAACATCTTCAGGTTCATCCAAACTGAAAGATGAATTACTTAATGAAATCTTAATGTGCGGTATTTGTCTTTCACGTATGACATCTCCATGTTGTCTTCCATGTGCGCATTCGTTTTGTCGGTCATGTTTACTCGATTACGCTCAAAACACGACGATCAATTCCAACACTCCGATCAATTTCATTATGTGTCCATATTGTAAATACCAGTTGAATTTTCGTTCATTCGAACATTTCGAATCAATGTTAATCATCAATCCGATTCTGAAGCAACTCTGCGAAGCTTTGGATGCGTCGAAAACCACCACCTATGATCAACAGCAGAATCAAATCAATGGAATGTATCGCGCACGATGTCATACCTGTGGTTTACTCAAGATGCTGAAAATCTGCAAACATTGCGCGTTCATGCTCTGCGAGACATGTCGTCGGACACATTTATTAGATGTTCATCGTGAAAGTAAATTACAATTAACAACTCTCGAATCACGACTCGAATCGGTCAATAAAAAACGACTAGAGATGGACAAAAAAGCGGAAGAATACGATGAAATTCGTCAACAGATTCAGACCTATGTTCAACGATTCATTCACGAAATCGAACAACAACGTGATCAAGCTTTGCAGATCATCAACGAACGTCAACATGCGAATGATGAAGCATTCTGGACAGGAAATGGTTTCGACAACGGCGAAAAATTAGACTTCTTCAATTCATTACTTCGTACGGGCCAAAAGAAACTTTTCGCTAAAAATATCACTGATAAAGATCTGATGGATTTATCTGACAATTTACAGACAATACCGGATGTGAATGAAAAACTGATCGGATCCATTCAATTCACCCAATTACTGCTTGAACTCGATGATACGTTTGCGAATAAACAATTCATTCGTGTGTATGATACTCAGGAAATCAGCAAGAAAAATGATAATAATGACCAAACTAACGAGATGAAATCATAGATACGACTCAGGTTTCCTTCGTTTTTTGATTTTAGAAGTATTTTCTACCGAATTCGTTTTTTTATCTTAAAAGAATATGGCTGCTATAGATTCAATAAATATAGAATTGATTGAACTTTTTAATCAGCAGGAGTTTTCACCAAATGTGAAACAAAGTCGATTTGCCATACTCGAATCTGACGCGTCGCATTGACTTTGAGAAAAAAAACTCCCAAAATTGAGTCATACGTGATGCCTTTTATGTCGCGTGACTTGGGTAAAAATTCTCTACGATTGGAAAATCCTCAAGTTCTGAGAAAATGTGTGAACTAAGTGACAGAACCTCCTTTTGACTCGTCCTTCAATGCTTGTCAGATAAAAATTTGCACTTAACAAACAATTTCTCATTCAAGGTGTTCGAATAACATTTAGTTTGTAAAATTGAAATGAATGATCAAATTCAACATGGAATTTTGTTATTTCCTCTCTTGATTCTCTTTCCATTTCGAAGCGGATACCATATAACGGAGTTTTTTTCATCCC